TTAGCATACAGAAACGCATCTATGCAGAGGAATCTGTTACACCAGAAGGGTGAAGAAAATGACCTAAGAGCGATTTACTTGGACTACTGCTTTGACATTTGTGATTAGCTAATAGTCTGTTAGGAATAGGAAGCAAAGAGCTGAATTGGAGCAGAGATGTGACTTCATGTCTGTATACAGCATTGATCAGACTAATTCACCTAACAGCTTTTCTCTGCACATTTTAAAACAGGTGTTGAAAAATTGGAAAGGATATTAAAAAAAGGATGCAATGATTTGAGGAAGAGAAGAGAAATGCTTTATAGCAAAACGCTTAAAAGCTCAATCTGTTTAGTTTATGAGAAAGAATACTGAGAAGTAAATAGACTACAATATATAAATATCTTCATGGGGAGAAAATATGCAGCACTAAAGGATTATTTAATCTTGCAGAGAAAAGCAAAACTGGCTAGAAGAAACCAGCCAAAATCAAGTTAGGAAGTAAGGACACAACTTTGACAATGCTAATCTCTTCTAACAAACTATCAAGAAAAAAAAAAATACCCTTTCCATCACTTGATAACTTTGATTACGGCTGGATGCTTTTATGGGAGATGTATTTTAATCCACCATATGCTATTGGGATCGCTACAGAATTAACTGTGACATGGCTAAGATACGAGCAGTCCAAGTGGATGGGTTGGTTTTTTTTTTAGACTTCAATATTATGTATATAAAAGTACATAAATTGGCAAGAAGTACTCACCAGCCAGAAGTCTGAGCAAATGGTTATAATATGGCTGTGGTAGGATTGCAGGAGTGCTCTCTGCTAGGTTTAAAGGAACACATTTTTTTTCCTCTTGCTGCCCCCCAAATATCCCCATTGAGAGGGAGTATGACATTGGAGTCAGCCCATTAAGTCTGAACAGGCACCGTGTTTATTATCCAGTGTGAGGCAAAACACTTAATCAAAGGTTCTCCTGAGCAAATCCATTTGATTTTGTTTACAAATTTAGATTTCCACGTATTCAATGTAATGGGTTTATGTAGTCAGAATATCTGTACCTTGCAAGCATAATTTCCTGATTCGGCTGCTTTTTCAGTTGACTGACTTGTTTTTGAAACATTCAGTTTTAACTCAGTAAGTAAATAGTCACCCATTGCAGTCCAAGCAGTCACACTGACTGTGCTCTTGGAGAGCTTGGAAGAAGGAAGAAATCCAGATCGTGTCCTGCTTTATAGGCACTTAATGCCAATAAACGTAGGAGGATTTTTTTCCTGAGCATCTCAGCAGTTGCTTCCAGAGGACATTGACTGTAGAACAGAACTGGAAGGCATTTGCTGCTGTTTCTATTTTCTTTTTGAGGGAAAAGTTAGGGTAAAAGAGCTGCAGATCTTATCAGGGTAACTGGCGTGACAAGTCAAGGGACAACTTGCACCCTCTCATGGGAAAAAGATGATAAAAGCCTCCCCCTTCAAATGCTGAACTCTGAGAGGCATTTGTTGAGTGGACAAAGTGGACATCAGTCCTGTATCAGACCTAGCTACGACTGGTACTGGAGGCACAAAAAGAATGTATCTCCCAAACCAACCAATTCCTTTCCCTTTTCCTCTTCCCCAAATCAACTCATATCAGCGCAGAACATTTTTGTCATACTAACACTGACTGTCAAAGCCATTCTGATTTTAAATAAAACAATGCTTGCAAGACCAGAATTTTGACTTAAACAAACCACCCAGAATGCTCTTATGACAAATTTTCTAGCTTTAGATTCCACAGCATTTACTGTACATGATGTGCGGCTAAATGTAGCATAGCTTGATACCGGATTTTCTCTGAATCTCAGTACAGCTGTTCCTTAAGTGAATGTGATTCTCTGGCAGTTGTGAATATGCAAGTTTTGCCCGAAACATGCACACTTCAATAAACAATTAGACTCCACTATGTGCAATAGCACGAGGAGATATTAGAAATTTCCTCTTTAGTAATGGGGATAATGCAGTCTTCATCAAACATTGCTATCTCTTGTGGGCATAAAATGCAGTTTAAGAGAGGTTACACTCATCTCACTTGAATGTGCAGGGAGAAATGCACTTTTGTCCAAGAGGTTTTGCACAGCGTATCTCTTAAGCCTTCAAGTGGGAGTCAAATGCAGTGCAGTAAGAGGCTGACCCTCTGAACCGATGAAAGTCAACCCTGCCACCACTCCAAGACAATTCAAAGCCAAGGATGAGCTAAAAAGCTCTCCTGGGAGAACAGTTCAGGCCAACTGAGCTTACAGCTCCCTGCAAAATACCCTCAGTGTGTCTGGGCAGTTAGAAACCAAATCTTCTCCTGCTCCACTAGTCCCTATTTGAGAAGAGGGGACACTGCTATAACTTTCTGCCATAACTTGCAGTTACATGCCAGGCTATTGCACAGTCTCACCTCTTGAGCTCGTGGTTACCCTGATGATGTGGAATCTCTTTGGCCTTTCCTTCCCCTGTTTTCTTCCCCACTACCGTTGTGAGGATCCTGCTAACCCTAAATGGCTTTGAGTCTTTGCCAAACGTGCATCCTTCTTCAACCTGACTCAGCTGGAGAAACTTGCTTTAGGTCTTGCACTGCCTCATTTCACTAAGTACTACTTGGCCACCTCGACATCTTTTTTTTTTTCTGGGGGAAAGCGCGCTGACTTCTGCTGCAGCTGACCAAGCCTTTGTTCCAGTCATCAGGATAAAGTGACATAGAGAAAAGCCAGTCTTCTTTTCCACCATACTGACTTCTTCTTTTATCAGAGCTAAGTGGCATCACCTCATCCCATTTTCACAAGTTGCTTTGCTGCGATGCCCAACAGTGCTAAGGAAAGCACTGTCACCGCCAGCCATGGCTCCAGGGGTTTACAGCCATCCTCCAGCGATACCCTTCATATGGAGTACATCTTTCTGGGCTATGATGGCAACAGATTGACTGACACTACTGCTCAGACAAGCTGGCTTTGCCAGAATTTAATGTTGGCTTGCAGAACATCACTGTCTTCTCCATATATCAGTAACATATCTGCAAGAGATAAAATAGACTATAGACTATTTCACTTGGAAGGGACCTATAATGATGATCTAGTCCAACTGCCTGACCATTTCCAGGCTGACCAAGTTAAAGCATGTTGTTAAGGGCATTGTCCAAATGCCTCTTAAACACTGACAGGCTCGGGGCATCGACCACCTCCCTAGGAAGCCTGTTCCCATGTTTGACCACTCTCTAGGTAATGGTTCCTAATGTTCAAGCTAGATGTCTTTCAAAGGTGACTTCCTTGATATTCATCCCATTGTATCACTTCAGGATCCCCAGCTGGATCCCCCAAGGGTCATCATAAGGACATTTCAGCAGCTAAGTGATGGAGTTGAGCATTTTAATCCAGTTTCCCCCAAAGCCACAGAGCACACAGTGTTAAAGCCAGTTCTGGGGCCCAACCTGATCTTCATGAGGATGCCCCTGAGTTTCAAGGTCTCAACTGATATGTTACAATATTGTTGGATGCCTACGTGCTATTTATACTTAAAGTTTAGATCTTCTACCGTGGTATCTAAAGGCCAGTGAAGGAGGTTCCCTTTTAGCTGGCAGTACACAAAAGGAAAATACACACAGAGCAGATATGGTGATTAGGTTAGAACGTCCTGTCAGTTTTAAGATGTTTTGTGGCTATCTGGGATTGGAGTTGTTTTGTGGGAGAAAAGATGAGCTAAAGGGAAAAAAAAAGGAGGGCACAAGAGAATAGGGAGGACAGAATATAATGAATAAGTATGGCACGAAGAAAGCTGAGGTGAAAGTTTTCTCACATCTCTTTTCCCCAGCCTAAGTGCCATCCATACACATTTATGTTACAGTACTTAAATAAGAGCTGTCAGACCTAACACATTTTTCCCTGAATTATTCATAAATCTGTATGATCACAAGAGAAGAAAGACTTGTTATTTGCATTAAACTAGTTAATTTTCATTAACATAACTGGCCTATAATTACTAGTTTCACACCAGTAACTTACCTTAATACAGGTTCTGTAGCAATCATAATAGAGATGTATGTTCTTTAAAACAATTTTTGTGTGTACTGGCTGAAAGCACAATTTTCTCCCATAATAGACCTGCTAAGCCTCTTTCTTTTTCCCTTTTGTACACAATTAACATTTCATTTAATATTTCTATATTCCAGGTAGATGCCAGAAGAAAAATAACTCCTAAAGCAGTAATCACTAACAGCCATGTAGGCGAGTTCCTTCATTACTAATTGCATTTGACACTAATTGCTGTTTATTGAAGAACCTGAGTGAAACATCACTCTGACATGTATCTGGATACTCCCTGCATCTGTTGCAATTTGCCATATATCCTGTTGTTGGTGCCCACTTTATAGGGCCAGCTCTCCTGAGGTGTGATTTGGAGGGGGATGCTGTTTCTTACCCAGCACCATGCTAAATGCTGTACCGATGCAGTTCTTCTTTAAATTAGGGCTCCGGGAGGAGCGATTCCTTCCATACTGTCCCGCGTTGGCTGATAGACACACTTCTTCAGCTTTCACTGGCTCTTACAGGAGTGCTGGAGTACTGTGTGTTTGACAGTAAATCCTAAACGGTAATTTACGTCGATGTCCCTACCTAAGGGACACCACCAAAAGTGAGTTATTCCTTCCTTTGGCTGGCCAAAGGGCAGAAGGATTAGCTGAGAGTTAGAAGGAGTAACTAATTGGATGCATCGTGACCACCCAACACAACACCGAAAATGAGAAATTTGAAGGTGTTAATTTTCAGCCTGGCTGCTTGTCTGAAAAAAACAAAGGAATTCTGTTCAGCTAAACAAAGGTCCGGGCTGGTACTTCCTCTACCAATCTTAGCTAATATTGCAAGCTCTCTTTTGATTCCTAATTAATGTAACCAAGTTATCTGCAATTAATAGTTTAGGTAGGGGAAAGATAAGTGCCAGAAGACTGTTGCTGGATTGATAAAAATTCAAAAACATCAGAAGAAAAACTTGTACAAACAATATGGTAGAAGTCATATTTATTGATAAAAATTAATATATCTGCTATAAAATTTGTAACAGTAATGCAACTGAATATTTATTTTGATGCATAAACCTGAATGTTACATACCAAATACAATACAGTAACACTGGTTTCCTCCTTATTTACACGTTTATGAAAATTGATATGCAATCCATGTTAAAAGAACTTGTAATGGAGAATAGTTACATTAGAAAAATAATATTCTTGATAAAGCATTCTTGAGGACTCCAATCACATTTTCAGGCCTCTTTCAATAAGGCAAAAATCCCTGGTACAGCATATAACTTAATTTACAAAATACAATAACTTCAGACACATCTTCAAGTTTTCTTTTGGTATGCTTTTCCTCACTGCAAAATTACTCAATTTTCTTACTAAACAGAAAGAACTTTCAATAACGAAACTTAATGAGTTTTACTACATATTACATATACATCGCTGTAGCTTAGCGACCATAACCGGGCAATCTTTCTCCTTAACTGTTTGCTCAATGAGCTTTTCTTAGATGTAGGACATGTAGTATTTTGAAATCATTATGACTGTGGTGTCTTTCTTCAGTTTTCATAGGAAACAGATCTGTCACATTTTGAAATTTTTTTTTTTAAGTTTTATTTTATTTTAGGAACTGGTGCACAACTACATTTCCACTCACAAGAGAACGTCACAAATGTAACTAAAATTAGGCTTGGATAACTTTGAAAACATACTACTATGTGCCCAAACCCAGATTTCTTACTTTAATACTTTATAACCCTGCCATGCTCTAGGAATTCTTCTTCTGCATAGCTTCATTACTTGTCACAGTCAGATAGTTTTAATTCCTTCAAAGGCACAAAACTTCCACCTCTTTTCCAGTGTTGCTCCTACACCAGTGAATTCTTGTTTAAACATGCGTGGCAGTCTCATCAAAAGCATTTCTATCTCATTTGCAGAGATCTGAGAAAGAAAAAAGGTAAAATTAAAGTAAGAAAGCCACCCTGTAGATTGGAAAGAGGAAATATGGAGAATAGAAATAAGGGCGGGGGCTGACGGTGGGGGAATACAGGCCAAATGAAAACAACCAACCATTATTTTTATTTTTAACCTTAGCCTGACATGAATTTCCAGACTCCAAAGCAAGTGCAGATTCCTTGCAGGAATGATTCTGATTTTGTAAGTGGCATCACACTAAAAGAACGACAACTGCTATCCCAGCTGAAACCAGGACAGAAGTCCATCTAAGAACTACAGCTGCAGGTATACTTGTGAGGAGGAAGAAGCAAATGGGACCTTATTCTTCCTTCTCATCCCATGAGCTCTTGAATCCTTCTCCCAGCTCCATCAGTTTTTCTCTTGCAAAAAAACCCTAGCTTTATTTTTAATCAGCTTACTTTTGTTACTTAGGGCTGACTATCCATGGGGCCATCTTCTCCCAGTTTGGCCCAGTTCAGCAGCTCCAGATAACTAAGCAGTAAATTTCCTGACTTGGCATTGCTCAGGATGTTTTTATGGTTTTGAAACCTCAATGACTGGTCACCTTCCTAATGGGAAAGATGCTCTCATTGCAGAAAACACTTTCACAAAGGCAGCCTTTCTGGTATAATCAGTAAGAAAGTCAAGAAATGAAGCATCATGGAAAAAGAACCATTTTATCCTACTGCTACTTCTTCAAAAGTGATGGTCATGAAAGGAACAGTAAAGAAATTTATGGGCGCTGCCTGTTATCCACAGGTATCTCCATGGTTTGATAGGCTTCTCTGGCAATGGTGATATTTCTGCGTATTTGTATTAGTAAGAACCTTCCATGGTGAAAAGTTTTCTTTTTAAAACAGTATATAAACATAAAATATGCTAATTATACCTCGTTCCACCCAAGGGAGGTAAGAAAATATCTGTCACCTCTTATTTTCCTGAAGAGACTAGCGCAGCAGAAAGATTAAATGATTTGTTAAAGGTGGCGCCGAAAATCAGCGTTGGAGGCAGTCTAAAGCCCCAGAGTAATCAGGTCCATCTTTTACATAGTCTCGTGGCAGTAACGGACAGCTGGTTACCTTTGGGTAATGCATCCGAGCTCTATCCTGAGCCCTCAGCCCGCATGGGTGTGCTGACCTTATCATTCCTGCTCAGGTGAGGAATGACAGGCTAACCATGGAAAGTAATTGAAATTCATCTCTGAGATTGCATCTCTGGATTGCGCTATTAAAAAGTAATTTGTTGCTACAAGCAGTTACTTCCAAAATAAACCAGCGAGGTCAAATTTTGCAGCTCGCGTTCATTATGCAGCAGGGAGGTCCAGTGGTAGCTGCAGGGGCTGATACGTTGGCATCTCGGAGAGATGGAGATGACGCTCCTTCCATGAAGGCTGTGTTTGCAAGTCAAGGGTTTGATCCCCACAGCCTCACAGAAGCCAAAACGTTACTCACGTGAGTAGAAATTCAAGGACAGAGCCCACAGACGTGCATGAGAAGGGACCGCAGCAGTGAAGAAAGTTGAAGAGCTCAGAAAGTTTCAGAAGCCATGAGCAGCAGGGCTGGAGCGCAAGGAGCCGTTCTTTTAAAATGATTGCTGTTGTCACCCAAGAGATACAGAGGGGTCAGCCAGGGGAAAAAGCAGTTGAACCTTAGCCAAACGCTGTGTTAAGGAAGGACTTGAAAGATGACTGAGGAGATTGGGCAGACTGGGTGCTGCAGGAACTGGGGACAAGACGAAGGAAGGCGTACATGCAGCAGAGGCAGGGACTAGAGAAGCAGAAGAGGATTGGTTGTAGGTGTGAAGCTCTGGATGTATCAGGTCTTGATAAAATCAGATTTAAAAAAAATAAAAATTAAAATCCACCAGTTTCTCACCTCTGTCTACCATCCTCATCCCTTAGTTCCTTTTCCTTGTGGGTAGCAGTGGACTGTAAATCACTAGCAAATCTGAGCTGCTGTGGCCTGAAGATGGTGCCTAAGAACTTCATCATCCTTCCTCACTCATCCATGCAACCTGTCTTGTTTCCAGTGGGCTTCTAGCTCAGGATCTCCTCTGCTTTTAGCTATACACTTTTTCACAGAAACAGAGGAAGGATCCTCCAGAGGCATGAAGCAGCCCATCAAAGCAGCTGGAAGGTCATCTTGGTTACGGGTGGCACAGCTGGAGGGAGCGTTCAGGAACAAAGTATTACCAGGATCGAAGGAGTTGCATCTAACGACCACCGCACAAGGAGTACCACTCACATTCCGAGTCCAGGTGCACATCATTGCTACATCCTGACTGTGTTTCAAGAAGATCTGGGCAAGCACCATCAACCCCGTGTCCAGAGGAAGGATTGGCAGATGTGGATCGGAGCTGTGGCTGACCATAGCGTGACCCATGTATCTGCTAACCATTTCATGCAGTCTAGCATTCTGCAGAGCTGTTGTTTAGCACCGAGAATAGAATTCACCTGATCAAAGGTGGCTATTTCACAGCTGAGCTTCTCACCCTTGACTTGCTTAATATTCAGTGGAGAGGTATAGGCCCTTTTAGGGCTTGATTTCATTTCATCCTACAGTAGATATTTAAGAGTAAGTCAAAGAATCTTATCCTACAGGTACGTATTGGCTATGGACTGTACGAACGGATGCGTTAAAAAACATTTTGCACGCTCTAGCGTGTTGGCCTCACTTTTGTGTTGGCAACACCTTCTCTGAATTTAGCAATAGGGTCAACCAGTTCCTTTATGAGGCCCTCTCCGCTTCCATGTGGAGACGAAGGGTATGCTTCACGGTCCATTCACGTGTTCGTGAAAGTTCATGTTCAGTGTGACCTATGACTAACAACTTTTAGAAGAATGAGGAATCTCTCCTAAAACTCTGCACAGTTTCATGGCCATGGCTACACCTGCGTCTTGTTCTGCTTTCTTTCTCCTCAGCTGTATTTCAGGATCATGTATCATAAAACCAGCTGCTAGTTTTTGCCATTTAAAGCTCTGCTCTTCTTTGTCACAAAGAATAGCTAAGCAGCGCGAGGCAAAGACCTCAACACAAGCACGTGCATTGTAATTTGCGAATGAATAAAGACTGCAAACCCCCAAGCCCCACATCCCATTATCTTTCTAATGGAAACGCACGAAGAGTTTAACCTGCAGTAAAGAATAATACAATATTTCTATAGAGAAAACAGATTTTGATTAAATTTTTTTACCCTAGAGTCCAACTGCTGCATATAAGACCAAAGATATTCTATATTGGCTCCAAAAGGGTGGACGTGAAGAAATGTGGATATGATACCTGTATTAAAAACAAATGCACACAAAGTATTGAAATTACATCAGACAATATATCATTAAAATAAGCAAAATAATTCTGAATAGTCTGTTCTTGCAGGTTTTTCAGTATGACTTATGATTCTTATTTTTCTTACACAACCCAATAAACATAACAAAATGGCACAATTTTAATACAGTCATAATAACATGGTAAACACAATAGCTCATCTTCAGGAATGACAGCAGTTAGCAAGTAAGTGACCAAGATAATATACTGATGAATAAAGGAATTTCTAAACAAAGACTTGCTGGAAGCATTTCAACTACCAATTTTATGCTTGATTTACCAATATAAAATTGTGGATATTGTAATGGTAAAATTATTGCTTTTTTCCCCTTCACTGGATGCTCTGTTGTGAAAACGTTTCATATAATTGTGTCAGAAACCTCACTCCCTCAATTTTTTCTTGTAATTATGCTGATGCTGGTTATGAAAAGTGTTTAATCCGTATTACCCCTAACTGCTGCTGAAGAAAACACAAATCCTTTATGACATATTTACTTATTTACTTTCTCTTAAAAGAGAGCCAGTTCTGTCTATCATCTTCCTTGTTATTTACAGGATTGTTGTAAAAGGTGTGGGAATAAAAGTGGCTTAGGAAGAGTCAGGATCTAAGTCTAGAGGTTTTTTCTGCAGTGAAAGTCAAGTGACAGCATAATAATGATGACCAGAAAATACAAGATTTGGGGCATCAGAATTGCTATTAAAAGCACTATCCAATTTCTCCTCTTCTAAACAAACAGTGAAAATACAAAATGGCATGTGTGTTACTTACTGTTTGGGGAGAGTTGAACTGTAAGAATCAGAGAAAATATTTTCAACTCTGTTTGGATGGGTTTCTTAGCTGAACCACCCTAGGGGAAGTTCCTTATATTTAAAGCATAAACACCAGGATTAAAAATGCTTACAAATGACAAAAATGGGTCACTGTATCTTGTGTACTGCAGGCCATACTGCTTTCTTGATGCTGAATGAATTAGGATAATCTTGGATTTCATTTTTCCCCAAATACTGGCCATGGTTGAAAATGATAAGTAAAATTTAACTCAGTTTAGACTGGCTTTGCAAAGAACACCTTTTTTCCTCCCTCATTTTTCCAATAGCATTTACAAACTTCTGATCCTGCAAAGGGAGGGGTGCCTACTTAATTTAATACTACGGCGAGTCCTAGCAGCAGTTGCCACCTTTGTGCTGTGCGTGACCATAAGCACACAGAGATGAGCTCTTGAAGCAAAAGCCAAGACCATCACACTTGGATGGGTTGACTGGAAATCCAATTTGTATTCAAATCACATTTTACCAGTGGCATTGCATTTGCTATGTTTGTTCCCAAGGCTTTTCAATTAAGGATGTTCAAAGCTAGCTCTTTCGTATAATGTAAATAAAAAGCCATTTGAAAATATTTTGTAGTTATTGACTGGAGTTCCACGATAACTTTTTAGTATTTTTTATTTTATTTTATGCTCTTTTCCTCTAAGACAGTATTGAATTGTGTAAAATATAGACAAACTTAGTGAATGGATGGAAGCAAGGCCCTTTTTTCCCTTGCCACACCTGAACATGCTTCAGAAGAAGAGATAACATGAAATCCATCTTGAGTAATCTTTTCCCTTTGAACTGTAACGATGAGCCAGTTGTGTGGGTATTATGACCAGTAATGTCTGGACTGAGATTACACTGTTTATCTGAGTGTGCCACTGGACAGCTGGTGGGTGGGACCCGCTTTGGGACACTGCCACCACTTGTTACAGTCAAATAATGAGTAACCTAGAAAAAAAAGTTTGTTATTCTGTTGTTAAAATCTATCCTTGCTACCCTTCTCACAGAGGTTATCTTTGAACAGATCAAATACTGTCCATTGCAATTAAAAGTTCCAAATTTTATTGTAACAAGCAAAATCAAATCAATTTATACGTTTCTGTACATCCCACTGTTCCACATCTCACCAGTTACAGGAAGTTTGTGTACTAAGCTCTTTAAACTTTTAAATACATTCTTCACTTTTAAATGACCTTTTTGGTCTGAACTGTCTGAATCTGTGCCCCAGCAATAAACCAGCAACTTTCCCGGTGCTTAGCAGATGCAAATGAGTTGCATTTAAACAAATTAAGGTAGTCGTAGAACTATCACCTACCGGGATACCGCTGCTTTTGTGAAAAGACCAAACCAAAGAAATGAAACCTGGTCTTTCAGGTCAGCATCCCTGTGAATGGCAACCATGCCATAGGGAACACTTTGGACCCTGGACATTTAGGCTCCATGAAAACCTTCCTCACTGAAACCAAAATGCAAAATATGCCTGGATATAAATGGGGCATGTTCCCTCCAAGGGTAGCATGCGGACAGCCAGCATTTCTGCATGGCTAAATGCTGGGAACCAGTTAGCTGGCCCACTGTCTATAAGCTTTAGCTTTTAGGCGCTCTTTAAGAGTTTATTTTAACGATTTTATTCTAGGTAAAGGATACGACAGTCCTTGTGGTATTCTTTATAAATATTCATATCACTAATTCCCTCACCTAATGTCAAAAGCATAAATCTGGCTTGCTTAATACATCCAGTATACATATTTTTTGCTTGGTAGTTTGCTAATATTATTTCCACCCCCTTCTCCTTCACCATTTTGTCTAATAATCAGATAACAAGTTACACAATTCTAGCCTGCTAAATCTTGATGTAAATAAAGTCTTCATACATTCATGTTCCAAGTCTAAATGCAGATCCTGCAATTTTCTTCATACCTGAAATCCTTTCATTAAACTCTGCAGAATTTGTCAGAAAGGAAAAGTTCACTGTATTTTAGGACTTCTCTTACTAAAAGCCATTATGAATACAGATGAAAAATAAAAAATATCTTTTTTTTTTTTTTTAACTTCTATTAGCACAAAGATGCATGTAAACATATATGCAAAACAAAAACTTGTTAAAAGGCATTTTGTTCTCAGAAATCTTTTTGCGGGTTATCTTACCTATTAATAGTGCCTCTTTCTCTGATTTTAGACCCGGGCTTCGTTTCTCTGAATTTTTTTCTCTGTCTTGGTTGACCAATGCTACTGTCAATACATTGATTTCCTATACAGTTAAAAAAAAAAACAACAGGTGGTCATGTAGAGTTCATTTACTTCAATTAAAGCTGTCTGCTTCCTTTCAACTCTAGTAAAAAAAAAATCATTACTTTAATTCACATCTAAAGACAAGATAATTATAAATAATTGATTTGTTTGTAGAATATTAAGACAGTTTTTGAAGTACCTTTATGCCGAGAGCTGCCAAGAAGAGAAATTTTGCTTGTGGAGTAAGTAGCAACTTTTTTTCTAGTGCTTCTTCATTATAACAGCTTGAAAGATGTGCCATAAAGTGTGGGGATGGTCAGAAAACTCACATTTTTTTAGCTATTAAAGCTGTAAACAAAGACCGCCTCTAGGGAACATGGATGGAAACATTCAGCTACAGCTATAAGAGTAAATTCGACAGTCACTAGCGATGTTTCTAGCTACTAGAGCACAATCATCTACCCTGTTATACTCTTTGACCAGTGCCTGGCACGGTGTTGGCCCCTGTCCCAAACAATTCCCAGGCACGTTTTAGGGCTCGGCACATTTCAGGGACCATTCCTAACAGGTGGTTTGCATAAAGTTACCTTGTTTTGAGGACTGAAAGAGAGCCAGCCTTAAGGGCAAAACAAGTCAAGGCTCCTGCTTTAAGCTCCTTTTTCTGCAGCTAGGTGGCCCGAACCATCCAAATCTCAGCCAAGGTCTCACGTTAGATGCTCCATCAGAAGTACCCAGATAGTTGTGTGACACAGATTGCTCTTCTCCTGGGTATATGTGAAGTAAACAAATTATCTCTATTTCAGAGGCATGTAAGTGGCCTCAAAGTGCATTGCACAATATTCAAGCATGTACATGGGCTGTTTCCATGGAGCAACTGATATGCAGGAACTCGTTCCTTGGTGAGGCAGTGACTCACGCTGCTGCATCTGCTCTGTGAAATGCTCAGCGGTTCCATGCAAAAACTCAGAGGCAGAGAGCACGGGGCTGGAGATACGGTGGTGTGAGGTGGGACTGTTCAGGAATGGTGCTTTTGTTCTGGATGGGGGAGTCAAGGTAAGCAGCTGGAGGTTGCACGGGACTGGGCTGCCTTAAATGCAAGCAAATTCGCACTATTCGGTGTAATGATGTGGCCCATCTAGAACATGCATTCAGGGTGGTGCTTTGCTCCAAAACTCTTGGCAAGCATTTTTGGCAATAAAAGAGAGACGCTGGGCTTGGGTCGCTCCAGGGCATTTCTGAAGGTGTGAATATTCCATGCTAAAAAAGGCAAAACCTCCAAAATATGTCAAATGTGCCTCCATACATGACTAAAGGCTTCGCAATCTGTGAGACTGGTAAAAAGAGTCAGGCACTTCCTCATTCTCGATTTAAAAAAAAACCAAACAACCAACACAAAACCCCCCAGTCATGTACTCCGTGCTCTTTATAGGCTGGCTCCAAGGGGCAGCCGCCCAATACGCGGTGCCTGATGGCTCAGATGCATCACGGGTTCAAACATTCCCTTGCGTTGTGAAGAGGAACACGTCGCCGTGTGTCAGCTAAGAAACAGTATGTGCATTTGAGCGACAGAGACGCATACGTGTGCCCTTAGTGCCCAGCAACAAGGGGCTCTGCCAGACCTTAGCCCCCAGGGAAGGAGTGAGATGCGTTGAGTCACCTGTAGTTCGCTCCAGTTGTAGTGGCCAACTGAGGCACATCTCCTGGCCACACATCTATGTGTAGCTGTGTACATGTAAGCTAGTCAGCCCTCGCTGCCCTTTTAGTCCATAGAAGTGAAGTAATTTTTTTTAGTCGTGTATTTTTAGGTTGAAATAAATTGGACCTTCCTATTTCATATTCCTCATTGGCTGCAAAGGGAAACTTACAGCACAGATTTAGACACCTACAGGTAGGAGGGAGTCTGCAGTTCAAGAGTTGCAGTGATCCCCTCTTAAAATAATGGTGTGCCTGAGCGCTCTGGCAGCTACATCACCTTGATACTAACACTCCTGTAGTGTTGTGATACACAGGGCACATTATAGCAGCAGGAGTATGCCTTAAATTGTCCAGTACTGTTGATTCCCCTCCTGATAGAGCCAAAGGCTAATGCAAATACTCATCTACTGCTGGCCATGACATCCAAGAGCAGTGAAAGAAAATCCAGGCAAGAAACAGAGATAAAAGAAGTGTTCGCATTAATTTCTCCATGAGGGCAGTAATGACAAGGGGGTTACAGATCAGAAGAACAGAGCTGGATGACAGATTTCATGATACTGCAGCAGAAGAGGAGAGCAGCATATGCCACCAGAGCTTGTATAGGTTAAGATGTAATTTTTGACTCCATCAGAGATAGAAAAGCAGTCTAAAAATAACAATTCCTAAGAGGGGAAGGAGAGAGCAGAGAGATGTGTATTTGATACAACAGGCCCCAAACACAACACACTAGCAGTTTCAGATGGGATTAGAAGTTTTGTCAAGCAGTGATGCAGAGAAAGAAACTATATTCCCATTGGGAGCAACGAACAGATGGATTCTCATTTAATGCCTAGATTTGAGCCTGTGCAGAACATTTTGTATGATTTATAGGACAGTGTAAATGGATGCTAAAGGAAGCCACATCAAGTCTTCCTTAACTGTGTGTTGGTACAGAGGATAAAAGAATAAAAAATTGGTTATGGGGGAGCCTGAGGAAACTACGAGTGGCAAAGATAGCTACTCAGCAAACGACTGGCTTTAGAAGAAGGTTGCAGGTTCCTGGAGGTTTGAAAAGGAGAGGTTTCTGCCATCCAAAGCTACCTGCCTCACAGAAGATGATAAATTAGACAACTCTGATGCATTCAGCTGCCAAAATAAGCTTGCACAGAGAAAATCCAGGCTGTGCATGGTCACATAAAGCACTCAGTAGCAATGCTGCTAAGAATTAATAGTGATTTAAGAGAAATGAGTATAATTGTGTCTAAAAAATGAGTGTGAAATTCACCCAGAAACCAGGCTAATTATAGTGTATATGAAAACCTTAAGTATCTGACTACACACTGCAGATACAAATCTGGTACCTATGAAGCCTCTACAACAAATCCTCAGGCAGTAAATTTGCACTTTTTTAGAGGCACTACTCATGCCAACCCACAGAAACAAGACTTTTAAGAGCACAAAGGTGAATGAGGCAACAACTAATTGGGAACGAACAGTTAGGTCACCTCTCTGACATGAGAAAAAGCTACTGATCACCAGATGCCTGAGGAAAATTATTTAATATATATACTACATTACAGTATTTCCTTTCTTTCCTGGAGACCATCCTTTATTTGGCAAATTAAATTTTCTGAGGCCCTAAGCAGTCTCCTTCAGCAGGTTTCATTATAAAAGGAATATTTTGCTACCATCTGTCAGTTACTGCATTAAAGGACAAGAACACAGCTGAGCATGTGCAAACCAGTACTTATTAGAAGTGAAATGACCTTGCAAAAGCTAAGTACAGTATTTGGAAGGCTTAATCCAGGTTAAATCACACCTGGAGATCATTAGGGACCTGGCCCTATTCATTATTCACAAATTATGTCAGGTATCGGAGAACATGGAGGCTCGATTTGATGATGACAGCTCCAGAGCTGCTCAGCATGAATGCAACCATTCTGTGTGATGCTCTCACCATTGCCAGCTTGGAGCTTTCCCTGCAAATGACACTTTCATCCATCAGCAGATGATGAAAAGAAATGAATTTCCCTCGTGGGCTTGACAAATCCCATGATTCTGCAGACACCCCTTGGGACCAGCATTTTGATTTGGGGCTCCCTGCTTTATGAACCAGGGAGGGAAAGACAAAGAGAGAGTCTTTCTGGAAAACCTTCAGGAGAACTTGTTGGATAAAACAGAGGATGGCAAATAACAGTTTTCTCCCACGGACTATTCATTTCCATAGCTTTGCACCCCAGGGGACTAGTGGATCAGAAAGCCCCAGGTATTCAGGCTGGATGACTTGGGTCTTTCAGTCCTTCATTGGTTTCTTTTCCCCCGCTATGGGAAAGCATGATATTAAATAAAAAGTTCTCAATCCAGACATCACTAATCCCCTACAGGGCAGTCTTGCACCAGCGCAAAAAAAGCAGACAGAATATAAAATGTCTGCTCTTGCCTGAGGCTTCTCTCTTTAGCAAAAATGGTTCTCTTTAGCCTAAAAAGTTCTGTGATCCTGAAAATATGTGGTAGCCAGCATCCCTAAAAATGGGGGGAGCGAAGACCTGCCATTCCCCATAAACGATGACCAAGAGCTGAGCAGGGCTTGAGCAGCAGCTGCCGTACCTGGAAACTACTCCTGCCAGAGTGCAGTTCCACATCACCCCTTGTTCAGGACTCTGCTTGAAAGGCAGAATATGGGTTTTAATGAATGTGACATTGAAGACGCCTGGCATGTGATCAGGATGCAAATGAAAAATATCCAAAGAGCTGAAATATTCCCTCTGCTACCTGAGTAATCCAAGTATTTGATAATTACCCTTTAAATCTAGGGGGGGTGATGACTTGCATATTGTCTTCAAAGACCTCATTCCCTTTTTACCAGTATATGGGCTTCTGAAGAATTGTGTGGTGAGGGGATAAAAATAATATTGTACCTTCTGAAAGATACAGTAAAAACCCGAAATCCTACCAGGCTCTGGAAGATTTTGAAGGCTATGTTGGCGTTTGTACTATATGTACAGAGCCAATTGTCTGAGGCATTAAAACAGTAGGAGAAGAAGGAAAGACTAGATGTTGGACACAGCAGGCGTATGACAGAGCAACTGCTGAATGTTGTTAGATGTAAGGGATACACCACACTTTCTCATCAGCCAGGGAATTTATGAGAGAAAACGAGTTGGAGGAGAAAAAACTATATATCTGAAACATAAGCAAAAATCTTGCAGGCGAGAGAGATGTTGTAAGCTTGAAAAGACAAGGTAATTTTATGATTTTGATAGAGGAAAAGAACGATGCACATGTGATAGCAAATCTGCAGTCCTTAAGCTCTTGAAAGGCATACGAGTTCCTGCTCTGAGTCCA